TGTCCAAGGCCAGGTTGGAGCAACCTGGGCTAGTGGAAGGTGTCCCTGCCCATGGCAGGGGGGTTAGAACAGGTTCAGCTTTAAGGTCCCTTCCCACACAAACCATTCTGTGTTTCTACGATCAGGCTCTGGCGAGTGCCATCCATCTCCAGCCTCTGGATGGCTGGGTGGAGCTGGAGGAGCACACACATCCATGCAGGGTGCTGTGCTGTGGTGGGAGCTGGAGCAGCACACGTGTCCATGCAGGGTGCTGTGCTGTGGTGGGAGCTGGAGGAGCACACACATCCATGCAGGGTGCCGTGCTGGTGGTGGGTGCCCGAGGCCTGTGCTGTCCCTGGCAGGGGGTGGGGGCTCAGGGCTGGTAGTGCTGTGGCTCTTTGCTTGGGAGTGGTTGGGTGGGAGGTGCTGCTCCGTTCCTGGATTTTCATGGCAGTCACCCCTTGGAGCCTCACCTGGCCGGGTCCCTCCTGCAGGAGGTGCTGGGGGAGCACAGGGCAGGGCCAGCCCTGCCGTGGGGGCTCAGAGTTGGTTTAAAGGTGAGAGGCAGGTGCTGATGAGCACGTGGGGAGCACAGAGATCGTGGGACAGCGGGGGGCTGCATCAGGACATGGACCTCCCAGGGCAGCCACCTCCCCTGGCACGACTTGGGTGTTCCTGGTGGGCACAGAGCTTGGGAGAGCTTCGAAGAGCTCTTTGGAAGAGGAGAAGAAAGTGGTTTCAGGTGGTTTAAAGAGAGCTTTTTCAATATGAAGCACAAACAGGAGGAAGCAGGGAGGTGTTTGCTGGAATTCAGCAGCTGGGAAGTGGAGCTTCTGCCAGGTTTGGGAGGGAGACAGCAGAGGAAGGATGGTTGTTATGGAATGAGGCATTTGGGAGGGGGAAGACATGCAGCTCATGATTGACGTGACAGAAGAGGAGGGCCTGGAGTGGGATTCAGAGGGAGTGTTGGCCTGCTGAAGAGATTGGGAAATAATTCCAGCTGCAACAGCGTTCTGGTTGAATAGGGAAGAGGCAGGATTATATGGTTTATAGGCAGTTTTGGGGGAAAGGGGCAATAATGGTCAATGCTGAGTGGACGCTGGGAGCCTTTGGCTGCATGGCCAGGGGACGAGGCAGGCTCCAGGGACTGGAGCTTGTGGAGCTCCACAGGGGTTTAGGGACAGCCAGGATGAGGAGGAGAGGGAGAGGAAGATCCATGAGCTCTGTTACTGTCTGAGTTGTGTCCTCAAGTCTCAGACAGGATCTGAGCAATGTCCCAAGGCCCTGAGCAGTGAGAGCTCGAGGGGAGAGGGGACAAAGCTGGGATTAGCAGCAGCTCTCTTTAATCATGTGGAACTCGGGCTTGTGGGTGCACACTTGAAATGCTGGAGGGGAAAAAAGCTGAGACTTCACTTTGGACAGGAGACAGTCCAGGAATAGAAAGGCAGAACTATGAATCATCACCCAGAGCTGAGGGATGGCGTTAAATTAAAGCATGAGGCTGGCTGGAGGAAGCGTGGAGGGAGAAGGGAAGGTGCTATGGGCAGAGCCATGTGAGACACTCGAAAAACAGCAACACTGGAGGTGGAGAGTGAGGATGGTCTGTCTGAGGCTGGTGAAGAAAGCTGTAGAGAACCGGGAGGAGAACAAAGAGGATAAAAGAATTGCTGGGATCAACGAGGACAAGGCATTGAGGCCAGTTTGGTTCCTGAGGGAGGAGCTGGCAGGGTCCAGAAGAGCCCAGAGTCTGCAGGTGAGGCAGGAGCAACCTTGTGCAGTCCCCTGGTGGGATGGGAAGGGGCGGTGGGAGATCATGGGGTCGGGATGTCTGTCTTTCTGGGAAACGAGGGACCGGCTTTTGAAGGCCTGTCAGTGACATCTTACACCTTCCCAGGAGACTGCAGAGAGTTTGGAGAGAGGTGGATATGGTGGCTGGACTATTGGGTTGGTGAGGAATTGGCTGGGCATATCCGAAGGGTTATAGTCAGTGGCCAAATGGAAACCAGTAATGAGTGCTGTCCCTCTTGGGTCCATACTGAGACCGGTGCTTTTTAATATCTTAATTAATGACATAGACAGTGACACTGAGTGCACCCTCTGTGTGTTTGTAGGTGACAGCAAGCTGAGGGGTGCAGGTGACAGGCTGGAGGGCAGGCATGGCATCCAGAGGGACCCTGACAGGCTGGAGGAGGGGGCCCGTGGGACCCTCATGAAGTGCAGCAAGGCCAAGTGCAAGGTCCTGCACCTGGTTTGGGGCAATCATCTCTCCCAGTACGGACTGGGACACCTTCCACTAGCCCAGGTTGCTGCAAGCCCCATCCAGTCTGGCCTTGAACACTTCCAGGGATGGGGCAGCCACAGCTTCTCTGGGCAACCTGTGCTGGGGCCTCCCCACCCTCACAGGGAAGAATTTCATCCTAATATCTAACTGAAATCTCCTCTTTCAGTTTAAACCATCATCCCTTGCCTGTCCCCATCTGCCTGTGTCAAACACCCGACATTGCATTTTTTACTGGAAGCTCCAGTGTGTTCTTTGGCTTCTGCCTGTGCTGGCCCCCTCTTTGCTCTTTGTGGTAGAGATTTGGACAAAAAGGCTTAACCCCCCCAGTCCTCAGTGTCATTTCTCAGTGGCTCCTCTGCCCCCTGCGGAACAGGCCGAGCTTTCCCGTTCTCTTATGTTGGTCCCTGGTGCACCCTGGAATCACCTCTGGTCTTTGCAGTTCATCACTGGTCACCTCTCACTCCTTGTGTAGCTGCTCTGGGCTCAGGCTTGGCTGCCACTCCTTTGTCTTTATCCTTATTAATCTGACCTCAATTCCAGTTTCCCTGTGTGTGCCTTCCCATGCCAAGCCCAGTACGGAGCTCGGGTGAGCCAGGTTGGTTTCCTACCACACTGGTTACCTCTGCACGGGGATGATTTCAGTGTATGCCACCACCACTGCTGCTTAGGGACACAGCAGCTTTCTGTAATCTCCTTTTGTTTTCTCTTTTTCTATTTTCCTTGTGGATTTACCTCCAATAGGATCTTGCCTATGGAGTTCAATAATCATAGAATCATAGAATGGTTTGGGTTGGGTGGGACCTTAAAGCCCATGCAGTCCCACCCCCTGCCATGGGCAGGGACATCTTGCACTAGCCCAGGTTGCTCCAAACCCCGTCTGTTGTGGTTTGAGAGCCCCAACCTGGCCTTGGGCGCTTCCAGGGATGGGGAGTCCATAGCTCCACTGGGCAGTGCCTGCCTTGGTGGAGTCTCTGCAGTTTGCTGTCCTTCCTCCCAGAAATCCTAAGAACTTGTGGTCACTCTTCCTACTCTTCCCTCTCCTGACAGCTTCCCTCAGAGGATTGGCTGAAGGATGCTTTGGTAGACTGTGAGATGTGAAAATTGAGTTGGAGAGAGTCTGAGAGAAAATCGAGGCCAAATGGCACATGGCCTGGTGCAAATGAGAAATGGGCTTGGGCAGAGGCGCCCAGCCCCTTCTCAGGGCTGGAGTGGGTTGCTGGGGAGGGCATTGCACAAGGCAGTGTGGTGTTCTGTGAGCTGGGGGGGGCACGAGGGGGCTGTGGTGGTGAGAAGCAAGGGGAGAGACCAAAATATTCCTCTTGGAGGAGAAAATGCATAAGTGTGTTGAGCTCAGTCACCTGGTTTTCAGGGTCTGTGAGGCCCCCGAGGGTCTGTGTGGAGTGTGTGGTGTTTGGATTTAAACACAGACTTCGATGCTGGAGTGTCTGTTCCATTACTGGCTGTGTGTCGTGAACGAGTAAATGGTGTCATCATCCCCTGTTCAGCCTAACAGATTGTTTGGCTGAAGCATTTCCCAGACAAATGTGTAGTTCAGCCTGAAAACCATCAGGAGTTGGAGAAGGGCCGACTCTTCCTGGTGAAGGGACCTTGGCAGGTCTCAGTGCAACATCCTGCTCCCATGAGGTCAGCATTGCCATCCAGGCAGGTTGGGAAGGGCTTTGTCTGTCTGGAAAGGTCTCGGATCCCCCACTCCTGGAGGTCTTCACTCCCTTCCTGGGCAACACATTGAACAGAGCCCAACCACTGCTTCTTCAGTCAGTTATTCCAGTCGTTAATTCCTCCAGCTGCTGATAGTTCCCATTTAATTCCCAATTTGCATTTATCTGGTTTAAAGTTCCATTTTCTCACTTTTTTCTTTAGATTGGTCTAAATAAAACTTTGTTACCTGAGCATTATTCCCTGAGAAGTTTACTGCCACTTTATCATCACTTGTCTCTTGATGTTCTTTTTGGGAAGTTGATCACATAATGCTCGTTGAAAGTCTCTTTGTGAGTTCATTTCCTGTGGTCTTCAAAGAATTTTTATGGCTCTTCCTTACCCAGTGTCCTTAAAATGAAAAACATCAGGCTATAGGCAGTGTGCTCCCACTTGACCCAGCCACAGTTGTATGGACTGTAAATCCAGCTCCTTTCCCCTGACTGCTCTTTTTCATGGACTCCCAGAGTGGTTTGGGCTGGGAGGGACCTCAAAGATCATCTTGTTCCACCCCCACGGTCTGTGTGCGTTAGAGCTCTGTTGTCTGGCATATCCACCTGCCCCCTCCTGCTGGTGGTGAATCCACACCAGTGGTTCCTGGTCATGCCTTCGTTGGTGTTGGAAATGTGTTGGAAATGGCCCCAAGAGGATGTAGTCTGTAGTTTGGGGCTGGGGGATCTGACTGTCCTGGTGTTCCCACCATTTGCCGCTTTACCTGTCTCAGACCTGGCATAGCAAGAGCATTTTCCCAGTTGTGTGGAGCTTCCCAACATCACTGGGATGGCTCCAGGGGTCACTGAAATCCTCTTACCTGTTGGCCTGGATCTCTGGCTCTTCTGAGCCTGGTCCTGTAGCCAGTTCTTACTGTCTTTACTGTTACTGACTTTGCAAAGTGTTCATTGATAGAGGGAATGTCGTGTGGGAATGAGTCACGTGGCCATGGAAACGTGAACAGAGTTGTCTGTGTCATGGAACCACAGAGCAGTTTGGGCTGCAGGGACCTTCAAGGTCATCCAGTCCAACCCTGTGTCAGCAGCACCTGAACCACCTGGAGGAGTGGGATCAGCTGTCACGCGAGTTGTTGTTTAAAACATCCAATTCCATTGACTCCGACCCCTTCCCAGGGACTGGTGTCAGCGAGGGCTGCCTGAGGGTCGGGGGGATACCAGGTCACTTTGCTCTGTTCCAGGCATTCCTGAAGATCTCCATTATTTCAATATTTATTAAAAATTAGCATGAGCAGGAGTGTGAGCTAACTCTTCCTCACTCTTCCTCACGCCATTGCATTCAAGTCCATGCCTTTAAATTAAAGTTACATTGTTTTAGTGACATTGTAAAAGTTGTTTCTGTTAATGGTTTTGCTGTTCTGCATTGGTCTGTGTTTGCTTTTCCCCGGTGTTTGGGTGTGAGGCCCGGCAGCCCCGGGCCCAGGAGGGAGCCGTGCCCCCCGTGCAGGTCCGTGCTCCGCACAGCCGCTTCCTGCTGCTCTCAGCATTGTTACAGACTCCTTTTCCTGAAGGCTTCAGCTTCCTACACCATTTTTGATGCTTCCTGCGTTCAAGATCACATTGACATCTGTTTCCTCCTCTTTCTTCCCACTTCTTACCCTTTTTTGGGCAGTTTGGATGTCCCTCGCCTCTAAGCTGGTTCAGGGCTTTTAGTAGAATTGTTGTCCTGGTGTTTTTATGGAGTGTTGGGGTTTGGGCTGTCTGATAAATTATTGTGGAAATGTGAAAAAACAAACCACAACAAACCCCCAAACCCCATTTTAGAATCACGGAATGGTTTGAGTTGGAAGGGACCTTAAACCCCATCCCATTCCACCCCCTGCCATGGGCAGGGACACCTTCCACTAGCCCAGGTTGCTCCAAGCCCCGTCCAACCTGGCCTTGGACGCTTCCAGGGATGGGGCAGCCACAGCTTCTGTGGGAAAACCCAGTTTGTCCCTGCTTTCCTCCCCGGGTGCCAGGCCCTGCTGCTGCTCCCCTGTTGTCCCTGGCTCTCACCGGGCCCGCCGGGCTCTCGGAGCACTGGCCCAGCCCCACGTCCCCTCCTCTCCTTGAGCTAATTCTGCCGGTCCCAGAGCGCGTCGGTGCTGCCGGATTTAGGTGTCACGCTAAAATAAGTGCAGTCAGTGAGAATTTGGGTTACTTTATTGCTGAAGTAGGTGTTGGGTGGCTTCCTCCAGGTGAGGAGGCCACAGTGGTCAGAGGGACTGGACAGGTCAGGTCCCCTTGGTCCCCCCACACCGAGGGGCACATCCCTGTCCCCTGGCACTGCCTGCACCTGGGAACGTGCTTCACACAAGGGGAAACAGACTCCAGCTGCTCCAGGGGAGGTTTAGGTTGGATATTGGGAAAATTTCTTCATGGAAAGGGCTGTCCAGCCCTGGCACAGGCTGTCCAGGGCAGTGGTGGACTCCCCATCCCATGGGGATGTGGCACTTGGGGACATGGCACCAC